ATAAGGAAACAAGTAAAACAGTATGTTGAAGCTATTTTAAAATATTTTGAATTAATTAACCAAATATTAGATGATAGAATAAAAGAATGTAAGTTAGATAGGCACCCATTCAGAAACGGATATACAGGTTTCAAAGTTAAATATACTACCACTAACGTCCAGTACTAGCAGTATAACAATGGGAGAAAAATTTAATTGAAAGACCGCGGGAAGTTTGTTGCCATTAATGGATGGTTCGGAAGAAACGACCAAAAGGTTAGTGGATGCTATTGAATTATACAATGGGTTGTTAGACGAAGAGGGAAAAAAATTATTAATAACATATGTTTTAAAAACTAGATTAACTGAAAACGCAAAAATTAGGTTACAAACTAAGTATGAACAGTGTGACCAGTTAATAAAGGATTTACAAGATCATTTTTTACCAAAAATATCTACGGCTGCCGTATCTGCCGAATTGCATAAGGCAAAACAAAAAAAACTCAAACAATTGACGATTTTGGGAAACAAATAGAGAATTTATTAACTAAATTAACAATTGCCCAAGCTGACGGTAACAATCAATTATTTCCAATTTTACAGAAAGCAAATGAAAAAATTGCGATTCACACTTTTGCCAATGGCCTAAAAGACCCTGAGTTAAGAACTATTATAAAAGCTAGGGATTATTCTAAATTAGCAGACGCCATAAAGGGAGCTATGGATGAAGGATCAAATAATTGTAGGTCAGAGGAAGTATATCGTGTAAGGTTTACTAATAATTTTAGATCTAGGGGGCATAATACGTATCAACACAATAATAATTATGTTAGGGGTAATCAATATAGAGGTGTTGGTAATAACCACAGCAATCAGAATTATCAATTTAGAGGCAATAGTATTCGAGGAAGAAATTTTGGTCATAGGGGCAGAAATAATTACAATAGGCAAAATAATTTTAGCAGTAAACAAGTACAGTACAATAGGCCGCGAGTATATACAGCTAAGAACGAAAATACGGAAGAGGAACCTCATTCTACACAGCAGTTTTTTCGTGCCCATTAAGACAACAAAAGAAAAAATTGAGTTAATATTAAATGCTAACGGGTTAAATTTTGTACGAATGGGTCACGAAGGGGAAGAGTATAAATTTTTAATAGACACTGGTGCAACCATCAGTATAATTTTTGATAAATTTGTCGACAAAAGTAAAATAAATACTTCAAACTGTGTTACAATTAAAGGTATAACTGGGTTAGTAAAAGCACTAGGAACAGCAAATATCGCATTACAGATAGCCGACGTATGCATACAGCACGAGTTCACTGTTATGAATCAAGTAGATGCTGACATACACGGAATGATTGGTTCAGATTTTTTACAGAAATACCTAACAGTAATCGACTATGAAAAATTTGCACTTTTTTTAAACATAAATGCAGAAACAGTTATGTTGCCAATAGAAACCAATCATAATCACTTTACAATATTACCGCCCAGATGCGAATATACTAAATATTTTAATGTAAGTACAAATGACGACTTGGTAGTTTTAGCGAATGAAATTTGTGAAGGAGTATTTGTTGCTAGAACTTTAGTTCGTCCAATAGACGGAAAAATACCTGTCAAAATTCTTAACACTCGTGAGGAAACTATAAACTTAAACAATTTTACTCCTAGTATAGATAACTTAAGTAATTATACAGTATGCAGATTTAAGGAAAATGATGAAATATCAGTAAATAGAGTAGATAAAGTATTAGAATTAATTAAGACCGAACATTTAACGAAAGACGAGAAATTTTCATTACAAAGAGTTTGTTCAAAATATGCTGACTTATTTCAACTTGAAGATGACCCACTTACCGTTACAAACGTATATCAGGAAAGTATTCAATTAAAACCGTCAACTACACCCGTGTATATTAAACCTTATAGACTTCCGCAATCTCAAAAGGAAGAAATACATAGTCAAATTCAAACAATGTTAGATAATGACATTATAGAAGACACTAAATCACCATGGTCTTCTCCTCTTTTACTAGTTCCGAAAAAGTCAGAGCAAGAAGGAAAAAAAAAATGGAGAGTCGTTATTGATTATAGGCAGTTAAATAAACAAATTGAAGACGATAAATTTCCTTTGCCAAATATTTGTGAAATCTTAGATTCCTTATCCGGAGCAATGTACTTTACTCATTTAGATCTTTTTCAAGGATATTACCAGGTTGAATTAGAAGAAAAAAGTCGAAAATATACTGCATTTACTACTGATAGAGGTCAATACCAAATGAAAAGGCTTCCAATGGGATTAAAAATTAGCCCTAGTTCATTTTCTCGTGTCATGACTATTGCAATGTCTGGATTAACGTATGATAAATGTTTCGTATACCTAGATGATTTAATAGTTTTTGGTAATAATTTAATCAATCACAATAAAAATCTAACAAAAGTACTGCAGCGGTTAAGGGAAGTAAATTTAAAATTAAACCCATACAAATGTGAATTTCTAAAGAAAGAGTTATTTTATTTAGGTCATATAATAACACCCGACGGTATTTTACCTGATCCAGCAAAAGTCAAAGCTGTTAAAGAATATCCATTACCCAAGGACGCCGACGGCGCCAGACGATTTGTAGCATTAGCAAATTATTACCGTAGGTACATTAAAAATTTTGCAGATATCGCAGCACCGCTAAATTATTTGTTAAAAAAAAATGTTCCATTTAGTTGGACGGCGGAATGTCAGTCTAGTTTCGATAAATTAAAAAATTCTTTAATAAAACCACCCGTGTTACAATATCCAAATTTTTCAGAAGACAATCATTTTATTTTAAAAACTGACGCATCAGGAATTGCGTTGGGAGCAGTTTTATGCAATGGTGATGATAAACCAGTCGCATTTGCAAGCAGAACATTAAATCAAGCAGAAAAAAATTATTGTACGATAGAAAAGGAACTTTTGGCTATTGTGTGGGCTGTAAAACATTTTCGTCCTTATCTATACGGTCGTAAATTTGAAATTTTTACCGATCATCGACCATTAATTTATTTATTTGGCATGAACAACAAATCTAGTCGACTAACTAAATTTCGTTTAATTTTAGACGAATATGATTTTTCAATTAAATATATACAGGGAAAACAAAACGTAACTGCAGACGCTTTGTCTCGTATTGAAATCACTTCAGATGAATTAAAAGCTATGAATTCGAGAATTGAAGAAACAGTTCTTGTTATAACACGTTCAATATCACAAAATCTAGACAAAAATAACGTAATTCTTCATGATAGGACTGATCACCCTGGCGTGGTAGAGTTGCTAAAGAAACCAATTAAAGCTACTGAATTAAGACCAATTTCACAAGAAGAGTTTTCCAAAATTTTGAAGAATAAAAAGTATGATGTGCACATAGGAGAATATATTTATGATAAGGAGTTGCAACTAATTTATTATTGTATACAGGATTCTCGATCAACGTCGTCATTAAGTGAGTCGTTGAGAGACCTAGAATATATATGTAAACAAAATAATATTCCGGAATTAATCGTAATAAAAAAGAATCAGAACGCGTTCTACCCAAATAGGTTTTGTATAAATAAGAACTTCCTAAATGAAATAATTAAAATTGGAAAACAATTGAAAACCAGAAATTTAAAAATTAGTATATTAAAAGATATTGAACATATAACCGACAAAGATACACAACAGTTAATTATTAATGATTTTCACATGTTACCTACAGGAGGGCATGCTGGAATCAACAGAACATATAACAATATAAAAAGGTATTATTTTTGGAATGGATTACAGAAAGATGTACAAAATTTTATTAGAAAATGTGATGACTATCAAAGGTATAAACATTCAAACGCTAAGATTGAACCGATGGAAATAACAACCACAGCTACTTCCGCATATCAAAAAGTTTATTTAGATCTGATAGGTCCATTAGAACCAGATGAAAAAAACCATAAGTATATCCTTACGTTACAATGTGAGTTAAGTAAATTCGTAGAAGCATACCCTTTAATCAATAAAGAAGCTAATACCGTAGCCGAAGCTTTTGTACAAAACTTTATATTAAGGTATGGTGTTCCAGATGAAATAGTTACAGATAAAGGTACAGAATTTTTAAACTCAACATTGACAGAGGTTTGCAAAATTTTAAAGATAAAAAAAACTAAATTCAACAGCATACCACCACCAAACTTTAGGCTCTTTGGAAAATTCTCATAAAAACTTAGGTTCATATCTCAGAATGCAGATTGCTAATCACCCAGATGCATGGAGTACA